GGCCGCATCCGGCTGCCGCAGGTCAGAGTCAGACGTGGCCGACAGCAAGGAGGATATCCACCTCCACCGCCACCTGCGGGTAGCCCTGCTGCACGATCGCGACTTACAAATTGGTTCAGGTTCGACGTACAAATCAGTCTACACAAGTTACGAAGCCTTGACCCAAGCGTGGTTACACGCGAGCTGCGGAAGCTACGCTTGCGTTGGTTCCATGCGAAAGAGCCTAATACGAGACTCAGATTAACCAAGATCGGTCTTGACAGTGTCAGACTTAACCTGATCAAAGGTGTCTGCGACACGTGTCGGGGGTGCAGGGCTCGGGACAAGCCTGGGCATATTGTTATGCCATCTATTGCGCTGTCTGGCAAGTTAACGAAGTAGTTGAATGTGACCGTATGTTCTACACACAAGAACAACATTATGATACTTCATATCGTCGGTCGTTTGCATTCGCTATGCTACTAGGATGGATATACCAGACAAGACGATGAGCAGTATCCTCGTTGCGTACTATCAGTGCTGGATGCAGTTTGGACCTGCAAGGGTACTCTACTCTGATCGAGAGGGTGCCCTTATCAACGACACTGCGAATAACAGTCCTTAAGGCAAAGGGCGCTGAAGTAAGGATACGTGCGCGTGGACAACGCGCTACGACGATCGATGCCAGAAGTGGCATACTGCGCCATCTACTTCATGTCATGGAAGCTGAACTCAACAGGTTAGACATACCTCTGGTATTCACACGACTACTGCATGGTGCCTTGTTTGCCGCCAGCGCGTTCACCCTCTATAGCGAGGTGTCTCCATGCGACGCCCTGCTTGGACGGCAATTGGCAATGCTCCCTGAGTTGCCTATCCTGGATCGAACGGCCGACGGAAACGTCGGATCATTCGCGTGAGCAGATTATACGCAAGGTATGCATTGAAGGTATGACGCAGGTTACTGCAGCTGCCAAGACCAATCGTGCATTACGCACTAAGACAACTACCACCAGTCAGCATTGCGATGGTGAAGGAGATTTTGTGGATTACCATCGTCCCACAACCACGCAGGACGACGGGGGAGGCTGGAATGGCCCTTTCCCGGTCGTAAGAAACCGCCCCTAACGCGGGGTCAAATCATCATTCGAATGGGAAACCGCGACGTTCAGGTACAATGCGGCGATGCACGACATGCGCTCTATATTGAAATGTTGATAGCCAGAGAGACCGGCTCCGACCACACTGCGCTACGGACAGTGACGTTCGTGGCCAGTTTACCTGCGGGGAGACCTGCTATCACATTTGGCTATGTCCCGACCGAGAAGGGGGCGCTTCAGATGACAAGTGCAAGCCGACTATATCCTTAGGTGCGTCTGGCTTTACAGCATCAGAAACTTCTTCCGCATTGAGAACGTAGTTTCGGTTGGGTTAGCCAGGGGTATCCACGAGCTACCTCCGGTGGCTTACGCTGGCAGTTGCGCATTGGCCTACTAAGACAGCGGTGTGAATCCAAGATTTTGCTTTTATGAAGCAGAAGGCACCGCCCTTATCATTCGCGATGTAACTGGATCAGCACATTCAAGCATCATCCAGTGCCTGGAGCCCACCAAACTTCAAGCAGGTTTCGACCAGGAGATGACAAAGTTTGAGAAATTGGCTGATGCAACGACGCCGGACAGACCGCAAGAGAAGCCCCAGACGCCGAACCACCACGGGAGGATGGGCGGCCCCCACGGTGCACGAGGAATCGGAGGCCGACCTCGAGGCACACATTATGGATGTGTGCTATGCAGAACTACAGGATGAAAAGGTGACTACTGGAGGCAACTCCACGAGTGAATCTTTGCACAGCACCCGCACATATGATTCCAGACAACAGCGCGCTGATCACTGTAGCCGAAGAACAGCGGGGACACCTCCCTAAGTGGGGTCACCCACGCGACTCCCGCATCGAGGAGGCGTCTCGTGTCCTACTGCGCTCTACGGTCGAAGATTGCAGTTGCGCGTTGGCTTCAGACGACAATGGATAACATGTAGAACTCTGCATTGCGGCCGAAGTGTCAAAACATAGTCCTGTCCGAACAACGGCGCAGGATATTAGATGCCGACCGCGCGACCACCATGCGAGTATATGTTGCCGCCGCTGCATGGCGAGCGGAGGTCGTCAAGGAAGACGACCTCCTCGCGAAGGCTGACATCCAGGCGAATCCCGAAAAAGTATCGAAAGCCACATGCACTGATCTGAAAGAGCGTGTTCTACCGCTGCTGGCGGGAAACCGGGGGGGGTCGCTGCCGGTTCGAACCCTTTCCCCCCCCCCTCCGGAAAACCAGAAGGGGGCCACTGCAGGTTCGAACCCCTCCCCCCCCCCACAGCTCATCATGAAAAGGGGGGGGGGGGTCGCTGGTTCGACCCCCCCCTCGAAAACGGGGGGGGTCACTGTCGGATCGAACCCCCCCCTCGAAAACCGAGTGGGGTTGCGGACAGTGGTGGGGATGGTGACGGTGGGGACAGTGGTGAGGGGACAGAGGGGCAGTGGCGGGGACAGTGGGACAGTGGTGGGGGCGGTAGTGGTGGGGGCAGTTGTGAGGACAATGGTGGGAACTGTGGGGACATTGGACAGTGGTGGGGGCGGTGGTGGTGGGGGCAGCGGTGCGGGGACAGTGGGAATGAAGTGGAAACAGTGGGACAGTGGAGGGTGCAGTGGTGGCGGGGGCAGCGGTGAAGGCGGTGGCGAGGACGGCGGTGGGACAATGGGACAGAGGTACAGTGGGGACAGTGGCGGGGACAGTGGGGGTAGTGGTGGGAACAGTGGGGCAGCTCAGTGGGGCAGCGCAGGAGTCAGTGGGACAGTGGGGGCAGTGGGGATATTCGGGCAGTGGTTGGGGCCGCTGAGAAAGTGGGGAGAGTGGAACCGTGGTGGGAACAGTGGTGGGGGCAGTGGGGACAGTGCGACAGTGGTGGGGGCACTGGTGGGGACAGTAGGGCGGTGGTGGAACCAGCGGGGACAGTGGTGGTGAGGACAGTGGTGCTGGGAACAACAGTGGACCGGTAGTGACCCCCTTCGGTTTTCGAGGGGGGGGGGGGTTCGAACCGGCAGTGGCCCCCCCTCGGTTTTCGAGGGGGAGGGGGGGGGGTCGAGCCGGCAGTGACCCCTCCCCCGGTTTTCGAGGGGGAGGGGGGGGGGAGGGGTTAGGGGAGGGGGGGGGTGCCGGGGGAGGGGAGGAGGAGCGGGGGGGGGGGGGGGTCCAGCAGGGGGGGGGGTGGGGGGGGTGATTTTGCGGAGGGGGGGGGGGCCGGGCTTCGGAGGAAAAGGGCGGCAATTTTCCATAGTAGAGCGGCGGTGGATCACGCTCTCTCACAGATTTCAAGACGTGGTTTGACAAAAAAAAGCTTCAACATGATGTGTCAAACATCATGGCTTCGAGGTCTGTGTGCACATTGAAGTTTGTAAAGAACGAGAAGGGCGAAGTGGAGCGTACCATCAGATACAACGCCTGGTGCTTCGAGGCGCCTTGGACCTTGAAGCCTTCGACGCGGAAGCCTTTTCGGGAACAGCACGGCGGTCAAGCCAGAGACTACTCGCGATCACGGCAGCGTTCAAGAAGCAATGCGTCATTGCTTCCCTCGACAGCAACATGGCCTCCCTGAAAGGGTTGACCTGCCAGGGACTTGCCGCGGCAACTTGCAAAAAAAGAGCGTTGGTTGGGCAAGCGTGGAAGACTTGAAGTCAACGTTTTGCGCCGAGGGTGCCGCCTGCCATTTGGTAGACAGCTGCGTGGATTTAGCGCGCGGCGTGGAATTGAAAGCGGTGGGGCATCGCCATGCGTGTTCGTGTAAATGTATGACAATGCGAAGCTGGCAAAGGGTGCGCGAGGCGATTTTGGATAGAGCGTGTTCTACCGCTGTTGGCGGAAAACCGCGGGGGGTTACTGGGGGTTCCCAACCCGTTCCCCCCCTTCGAAAACTGGTAGGGATCGCGATCAGTTCGGACCCCGCCCCCGTTCCCCCAGTCCATCATGAAAAGGGGGGGCCATTGCCGGTTCGACCCCCCCCATCGCATTTTTTTTGGATCAGGCTTGACCCCCCCCCCGCGCCTTCTCGGGACAGTTGGACACTGGTGGTGGGGATATTGGGACAGTGGTGGGGAGGTGGTGGTGGGGACAGTGGTGTGGGGACAGTGGGATAGTGGTGCGGACAGTTTCGGGGGCGGTGGTGTTGGGGACAGTGGTGGCGGGGGCGCCGGGACAGTGGTGGGGGCAGTGGGACAGTGGTGGGGGCCGTAGTGGTAGGGGCAGTGGTGAAGGCGGTGGAAAGGGCGGTGATGGGACAATAATGCAGTGGGGAGAGTGGTGGGGACAGTGGGGGCAGTGGGACAGTGGTGGGCACAGTGGGGGCAGCGGGTAGTGGTGAGGGCGGTGGCGAGGACGGCGGTGGGACAATGGGGCAGAGGTGCAATGGGGGCAGTGGCGGGGAAAGTGGTGGGAACAGTGGGAAAGCTCAGTGGGAAAGTGGTGGGGACAGTGGGGCAGTGGTGGGGGCAGTGGGGACTGTGAGACAATGGTGGGGCCCGTGGGGAAAGTGGGGGGAGCGGGGCCGTGTTGGGAGCAGTGGTGGAGAGAGTGGGGACAGTGCGACAGTGGGCAGTGGGGGGTGGAAGCGGTGTTTGGAACAGTGGGAACACTGGCGGTGGGGACAGTGGTGCTGGGGGCAGCAGTAGGGGATGTGGTGCGGACGGTGGTGGGGGCCCGGGAGTCGTTTGCCAGCGGTGAGTGCGTGTGGGGGGGGGGGGTGGTTCGAACCGGTAGTGGCCGCCCCCCCCGCCAGTTTTCGAGGGGGTGGGGGGGGGGGGGTCGAGCCGGTAAGCCGTTCTGGCTCAGGCTTTTATAGCCTCAGCTTGCAGCAGCATGCCTTCAGAACGGCCCAGTGCAATTGCGGGCCTCTGGCTCGGTTTGCTTTCGCGAGGGCGCGCCCTCATTCTTTCGTATATCGTCGCAACCATCACGTCTCCTCGGCAGCGATGGCTGGCGGCGGAGGCGCGGGCGGCAAGCGCAGATTCTCGCGGGCACCATGGCATCGGTCGCGGGGGAGTCCACCACAGCAGTCACAAGGTGGCCAACGAGAGCAGTGGCCGCCGCTCACGCCAGGTCTTCAAGTTGCCTTTCGCCATGCTGGTGATGGCGTTCGCCGTGATCAGTCCAACAAGGGACAACGCTGGAACATTCTGTGGATGCGGGAAGAACGAATCCATATTCTATTTCTGCAAGCACTGCGGCTCGCTCAAGTCGGCCTCGAAGGTTGATCCAAGCTCTCCGTGGTCTGCAGGCCCCCCTTCGTCTCGACCTCCAGCTGGTGCTCTCGGCTCGCCAGGGGCATCGCCTGGCGGCAAAGGAGGGGGGAAAGGTGGCGCTGGCGGGTCAGGCGACTCGACCAAGCCGCCGCTCACTGCCGAGGAGTATGAGCAGCTTGCCATGTTGTGCGAGAAGCTCGGTGACAAGGCTGGCGCCATGGCCCACCGCGTTGCAGCCAAGGTTCTCACTGAACCGAAGTCTGTCACCGAGTCGACGCAGGTGCAGCTCAACAAGGCCCACCAGCGCGCAAAAGGCATCGAGCGCAAGCTTGTGCAGGCGGTGGGCAAGTACAATGCTCTGGAGCAGCAGCTGGCAGCCCAGCGCGACGTAGTGGTTCAGCTTCGCGCGGAGCTCGCGGAGGCGGAGAAGCAGCACAAGCAGCTGGTCCAGAAGCTCCACTCGCCCTTACCGCAAGAGGCTTCCGTGCCGCGCATGCCAGCTGACATCCTCTTTGACGAATGGAAGCTTTCCTCGTTCTTCGACATTGACTTCGGTAACCTGGTCAAGTTGGATGGGCGCGACCTGTCTTCAGAGGATCAGACTGAACTCGACTCAAGGGCGCAGCAGCTCAAGACTGGGGTCAGCTCACTGGCCAAGGACCCTTCCTCGCAGGCGAAGGCCAAGGTTGCCGCGATCAAGAAGGAGCATGCTGCGCATGCGGAGCGTATCCAGAAAAAACGTCGCATTGCTGAAGATGAGCAGGCTGGCGAAGCCGAAGCAGATCCTCCTGCCGCAGATGGAGGTGATGCAGCGGTGCCTGGGGCTGGGACGGCAGCCGCCGCAGCCGCTCCTGATTCAAGTGAGGCTAGCGCCGCCGCCGCAGCCCGTGCACGGTCTGACGAGATTGCCAGTGGCAAGCCTGCGTGTTAGGGCCCCCCTGCGCGCTCGTCTGATTTGGCCTGCTTTTCGTGGCTCCTGGTCGTCCTTCCTCGGGTCCTCTGGTCCTGGGTCGGTCTCTCCTGGCCGCTTCGGGCTGTCGGCGAACTCAGCGCGGGGGGGTCGTTATTGTCTTCTTCAATCTTCAACCAAAGGAGCCTACTCAGCTGCGGCGGCTAGGAAGGCCCTCTGGTTAAAGCGAGGCATGCCACTCCTTTTCGCGCAGATGTCGCGCCCTCTGCAGCAATGTATGTCGTCGAGCAGATGGTCCTCGCTTTTCGCTTGTGCTGATGCTGCTTCTGGGTTGCCAGGATCCGCTAGCTCGTGTGATTTCTCGTCTCGACGGCAAGTTCCTCTTGATTTTGCCAAGCCGTCCGCTGTGTATCCAGTGAGCTCGCTGGACAAAGAAGCTCCTGGTTGCACTACCCTGGTCAGGCTTCCGCTGCCTGGGCCAAGGGCTTCGTTTTGTCAAGACCCGTCCCCACCATTTGCTCGGAAAGTTCGTTTTACGGTCTCAGAACGCAGTGCTGGCGCGGTTTCGGCGCCCAGTGCTTTGCATGCTGACAGCTCTGTTCTATTGCGCGATAGCTCTCGGCAGACGGATTCTGTGGCCCTTCAGGTTCAGACCATCAGCGCTAATTCTTGGGGCACCATGCGTTCTCTTCTTCCGGGGTGTAACGCGCGCGTTGTCCTCTGCCAAGAGCACCGTCTGATTTCTGCCGAACATATAGGTCAGGCTAGCGCCTGGTGTCTCCGCCGAGGGTGGAAATCAGTGTGGGCGCCCGCTTCGGCCACCGAGGCGGGAGATACCAGTGGGGGGTTGCGATTTTCGTGCGCAGCTGGCTTGGGTGTCGGGACCTTCCAGGTGGTCTTGTGTCTCGGGGTAGGGGCCTTGTCTGCTCGGTCGAGATGCCTGGGACCCCCCCCTTCATGGTTGCCTCGGCCTACTTGTTCCACTCAGTAGGGATGTCCGATCGTAACATGGAGATATTGGCCAGCATAGGTTCGTTCATCTCCTCTTCGGCTTGCCCGTGGCTGATCGGAGCTGATTTCAATATGTAGCCTGCTGAGGTGCAGGGCTCGCAGTTTGTTCAAGAGCATCGTGGTGAGTTACTTGTGCCTGCCATTTGCACTCACTATCCGACTGGCCCTCCCACCTCCTTTGATTTCTTTGTGGTGTCTAGTGCTCTGGCCAAGGGAACCGAGAGGATCGAGGCGATGTTGGGCGCGGAGCTTTCGCCCCATCGGCCGGTGGAAATCAGGTTTTTCCCCAGGCTTGCGGTCTTGAAAGCCCTTTCGTTTCGTAAGCCCCCGCCCCTGCCGTGCACGGGGGCGATCGGTCCTTCTCCTCTCCCTCAGGCCTTGTCTGGTGTGCAGGCCATGGCCGACTATGCTCTCGCCCTCATTGACGAGGGAAATGCCGAGGGCGCCCGTGGGCATTTGGGAGAGTTGTGCCAATCCTGGGCCGACGCGGCTGAACGCGAGCTGGCCCCTCTTGTTGGGTCGTCACCCGCCGTTTTAGGTGCTCGAGGTCTGGGTCCTCAACTGGTTTGGAAATCCATTTTGGCGAAAGATTCCCAGGTCCGCTTCCCTGGGCATCGTGCTATCCGCTGGCTGGGCCAGCAGCTCAGAGCCCTAATTCATTCCTCTAGAGCTGATGCCGAGTCGGACACGTCGAGACGGCTTAGGTCCCTTCTGCTTCAGCCACCTGCAGGGATTTTGGCTGCTCGTGAGGACTACGTCCCCCTCTTCGAGCAGGTCGCTGTTGCTGTGGGGGCCTCAGCCGACCATGCCTCCTACTCGGCCCTCTACACTCAGGTGCACGAGGCCGTCCAGGCCGCCGACGGCAAATACGCTGCTAGAGGTCGTGCTGAATGGAAGGCATGGCTCACCAGCGGTCTCTCGTCGGGTGCCAAGCGAGTGCGCATGCTCTTGCGCGATCCTACCCCGTGGACTGCTAGCAGCGCTCTCTCGGCCGACGGTTGCATTGTCACGGACCCTCTTTCCTTTTTAAAAGCGGAGGGTTCCCGTTTCTCGGCCTTGCGGGGCCAAGGCGACGTTTTTTTTTTTTTTTTTTTTTTTTTTTTTTTTTTTTTTTTTTTTTTTTTTTTTTTTTTTTTTTTTTTTTTTTTTTTTTTTTTTTTTTTTTTTTTTTTTTTTTTGTTTTGTTTTGTTTTGTTTTTTTTTGTTTAAAACAAAATGTGGCTCCGCTTCCCAGTCTTTCGGCCCAGGCGATCCGTGATGTGCCGAAATCCTACAAGACCCCCTCGGCTGTTTCAATCGACGGGTTTCACTGTCGGCATTTTTCTCTCTTGTGCGATGAGGCTCTCGAATGTTTCCGCAGCGTCCTCAGCGCGATTGAGGCTCTTGGCTGCCTTCCGCCGCAGATTTCGGCGGTGTTGCTCGCCCTGCTCCCGAAACCAACTGGCGGCTACAGGCCGATAGGGGTGTTCTGCTCCTGGTTCAGGCTTTGGGGGCGCTGCAGGCGCTCCCTAGCATTGGACTGGGAGTTGGAACGCCCCCGTCGGCACTGGGCTGCTGGACAGTTTCGTGGAGCAGCCGACGTCGTTTGGGCGCAGGCCGCCACCGCCGAGAGCGGATTAGCCAGGGGGGAAGCCAGCTGCAGCATCTTTTTTGACCTTTCGAAGTTCTATGAGAACATTTGTTTGGTCAGGCTTGAGTATCGGTGTGACATGCTTGGCCCCCCCTCGGCCATCGCCAGACTTTGCGTGTATGCCCACCGCTGCGGCAGATTATTGAGTCTTGGGGGGTGGCCCGACGGGCCTTATTTCTGCAGCAACGGTGTTATCGCGGGCTGTTCTATGGCCACTACCCTCATTCGTGTTTACCGTGCTGAATGCTATGATTCGATTCCGCTGCCCATAGGCACGGGCCTGGACGTTTATATTGACGACCAGGGGCTCTCGGCCGCGGGGAAGTCTCGGTTTGTCGTCTCGTCCATTGTCGCTGGAGCGAGTTCTCGACAAGGTCGTTCAACGCGAATTCGGCTGTTCTTTCGCCCTCGACAAGACGGCCCTGGTGGCCAGCTCCAAGGCTGTGGGGTCCCAGGTCCTCGAGCAGCTCAGTCGCCTTTGTCAAAATTGCTCGCCGTCAGCAGCCAACCTCGGGGTTGACTACTCTGCGGGCAGGGCGCTGCGTGTTGCTGGTAGGTCTGCCAAGATGAAGTCTCGCTTGGCGAAGCCTGTCCGTGCTGCGCGCCGCCTCGGCAAGCAAGCTAAGGTGATCCCGAGAGCTGCCATCCTTAGAGTTTATTCTGATGGCCCCTTAGCTGGGTCTGCTTACGGCACTGAGGTCACGGGCATAAGCGATCACGACCTTAGCTTGCTTCGCCGCAGGGTTTTCTCTGTTGTGCGTCCTCGCAGCCAGCTGAGGTCTCCACGACGTGTGCGCTGTTGGATGGAGATCCGGCCTGGCGCACCGCTACTGCCCCGATCACCAGGTGGAGCAAGGAGGTCTGGATAAGTCAAACTGCGTCCTATCCCTGGTCTCTCAGTCTTCCGTCCCTTAAAGCTGCCTGGAGATCGTTTTTTTCCCCCAGGACAGGTGTTCTTGGCGTCTTGTGTCTGGGCCCGTCACGGCCCTCCGTATGTCCCTTGTGCGTCTTGGCTGGAAGATGAGGGATTTCATGACCCTGGTTGATGATTTCGGTCGGTTCATTCCCCTGGGTCTTTTTTCCCCCGCCCTGGTCAGGTCCTTGGTCCGTGAGGGTGATGTCCGCACGCTTGAAGTGACTCTGCGGCCAAACGAGGGATCCCGTCGAGGATTTGTTACGGCGTTGTTCGCCAGGCTGTGTCTCCCAGCTCTGAAAAGTACACGGCCCTGCAGAAGGCTAGGATTCGGGCTTTCGCCACCGAGGCCTTTTTTTTCACGGCTGCTAAGGCGGAGGAGTTAGGATACTGCATCTCTCCTGGCTGTGCCTTCTGTGGTGCCCGTGACACCGTTTTCCACCGTTTGTGGGAGTGCCAGCATACTGAGGTTCTGGAGGCCCGTTTGGAGGCTGTGAAGCAGGAGATCACTGATGCTGCGTTGGCCGCCAAGGCCTCTGGGGACTTTGAAGGCTACTTCGTTTTTCTCTCTGGGGCCTTTCGGCATCCCGCCGACGGTTACCCCAGGCCTGCTGTGGAGTCTGATGATGGTCTGTTCCTCACGTGGCATGCCCCTCCTGACTCTACCCCTGATGGCGGGCTCATCACCAACCGAATCTGGGGCGCTCTGTTTGTGGATGGGTCCTGTGCCCGCCATGCCGTTCGCGAGCTCACGCGTGCTGCTAGCTCTGTCTGCATGGTGGACTCCGATGGGACTCTTGTGGCTGAGTTTAGAGCCCCTGTCTGGAGCCCCTACCCTCAGCCCCCCCAGAGCGCTGAGTTCAGTGCTTTCACGCGGGCGAACGTTCTGGCTACGAGCCCTGCTGATTGCCATGCTTATTCCGATTGCCTTAATGTTGTTCGGCTTGCAGGACGTCCGAAGCCTGAGCAATTGTCAGGCAAAAAGATGTACGCTGGCGCCTTCTTGCAGTGCCATGGTCAGTGTTCTTCGGTTGCAGGTTGCTCTAAAGTAGCTGCGCATCAGGACATTGACGACCCAGCCATTGACGCTACTGAGAGGTGGCACCGATTTGGCAACAACTTCGCTGATGTAGGGGCTAAAATGGCCCTTCTTCTTCACCCTTCTGATGACGGCTTGCTTCCGGATGCTGATCGTCAGGTTATGTTTGCGAAGGCTACTCTTACAGTTGCCAGCGCGGT